CAGTAACTGGTTGTGTAAGAATTGTGGAATTCCACTTGGCTCTGGGTATGAAAGGACCACCTCTGGGCACCTATGCATCACCTGTGGCCATGAACACAACCTCGCTGTGCCCTACCCTGAGTCTACAGATAATCAAGACCAGCACTGCAATGAGTAGACTCAAAGACCACACTACTACGCATTGCCCATGGGAATGAAAACCTCAAATGAAAGAGTTGTGCTCTGATAGATACTTCATTCATTGCGCTAAAACTTTAATCTTTATTGAGCTTTTACTATGTACTGGGAACTCTCAAAATACCCGATATGTTAATTTAATCCTAACAATAATTCTGTGATGTAGATAATATTATTGCCCTCATTTTAAAACTGAATTAACTAGGGGCTATAGAGCTCGGCCTGCAAAATGTTGGCCATGCATACCTGAGTTCAATCTCCAGAATCCACATAAAAGGCTCTGCATGGTGGTGCAGGCTTCCAGTGCTAAGAAGCAGACAAAGGAGGATCCTCTGGACTCACTGGTTAGTCAGCCTAGCCTAGCCCAGGTCCCAGTGAGAAACTCTGCCTCACCAAAACTAAAGACAGCCCTTGAGGAAAGCACCCAGCTGTGACCTCTGGCCTCCACATGCATGGCCCGCACAGGTGGACATGCACACCCTCATAGGTACGTTTGCACATATGAACATGCACATTCATGTAAACACACATTAAAAACTAAGGCATAAGGGCTTTAAGTAACATACTTAAGGTCACAGAGCTAGTAAATGGCAGAGTACCATAGAGTCAAATGTGTTAGATCCAAAGGCCATAGCCAGTATCCTATACAGCAAATAAAGCAAGCTATAGAGTAGGTAAATTTTAAGTATCGTGGTGTAGTAGTGGTGAAAAAATGAATGTCTCATTTCTGGATGCTATAACTAAGCACTTTCTCACAGTTCTGGAGGGTATACATCTATGCACTGGATACCTTTATTAGTCAAGACATGGCAAGGCCGCTCTTCTTATAGGTTGCAGGTTGATGACTCTCCCCGTATTGTCACATGGAAGAGAGTGAAAGTTCTCTGGGGTCTACTTGATAAAGGCAGGAATCCCATTGTGAGGACTCTATCCTCCTCACCTATCTCCCAGAGGACCTAACTCAAATCATCACACCAAGGCTTAGGATTTCAACACATGAATTCTGGAGACATACTGAGGCTACACAATCCAAAACGATGTAGAAGTTCTCATCCGACTACCAACACATTTTGTAGTATGGTTATATCACAATTTATTTAACTATTTCCCTATTGATGTATTTTGGTTTCTAGGATTTTGCTATCACAACACTGTAATGAACAGTGTGCCTATGTCTTTGAGCAAATACCTTTTATTGCTAAAAGTAAATTTTCTAAATCTGTATCTGTATATTCAAATTGTTAGTAGATAATGTCAAATTATCCTCTAAAATGGGTATACCCATTTATTTTATACCCATTCAAAATGGGTGTCTATTTTTCATATTTTGGGCAATATTTGGTTCCATCAATCTCTTATTTGAAACAATGTATGGCTATGTGGTCTCTTGCATGCCAAACAATTTTGCTACTACTGAGTCATATTTCCAGCTATAGAGATATTTTTATTTAGAGGATTTCGGCTCACCTATGGGATGAAAAAGAGACAGTGGCAGAATGGCTTTAAGTTTTGAGGAATAATCAGAGAAGACAGGACATGTACACTAGTTAATGAAAATGATCATCTCTACAGCTTTTTTGATCCATAAAATGACATTTATTAAAAAATTTTCATACAGTAAAATGCATACTTTTAGTGTATAATCCTCTGGGTTTTGACAAATGCATACAGCATGAAACTATGAACAAAATTCAGAAAAATTCCATGATTAAAAAAAAAATCTCTTGTGCCAACAATTTAACCCATGATATTTACTGGGGTTTTTTCTTGTATTTTTTTTTCTTGTCATCCTTATTGTTTGGCCCTTTCCAAAAAAACAGAAACTTAACAGTAAACAGCCATTTGAGTATGGTTTCTTCTACTTAGCAAAATGTGTTTAAGATTTATCCAAGTTGTTGCATATAGTGCTCCTTAGTTTTTATTGCTGAGTAGAATTTCATTGTCTGGATATACCACAGCTTCTGTATCTATGCACCAGTTGAAAGGTATCCTATGTTGTTCTCCATTTTTAAGTGGCCTGTAGATCTAGAAAGAGGTAAGATTTTCCACCTTAGAGGAAGCAGTCCCTTCTGGAAAATCTAGCTGAGAAGCATGTCCGTGGGTAAAATGTGCAGGAGGCAATAACCAGGATCATTTACTCCTTATCCCTTAAACTAGATTTAAAACTGGAGAGTTAATCATAAGTGAGCAGAGTATCCAGTGAATACAAGATTATCCTGAGTAAAGCCAGATATCCTCAGAGTGGGTCTGACAAATATTCTGGAAGCCAAGTGTTTGAAAGTGTATTTAAAAATTTAAATTTAAAAAATATTGAAAAAGGTAAAAAAAACCCAAATCACACCACCTAAACATTTCACAAGGTGAAGGTTCTTTTCAGTGTGTACAGTTCCACTTACAGAGGTTTACAACTTGATTATATATATCTCCTATTTTTTCTATATATTTTGAAACAATCTCTACATACTATAATATGAACTATTTTGATTATGTATCTTTACTATACATAGTACTACACCTTAGCTTTTAACTTAATACAAAATCTTGGCTATGAGTACAAGTCAATATATTCATAGACATAGTTCACTATTTTAATGGCTACATAGGGCCCCACTAAATGGATGTGCCATAAGTCTCTCATTTTGACAGATGGACATTTGGATATCTAACTTCCAATGTTTATGTTTCACTGAGAGTTAATTCATATGCCACAAAATTCACCCACAATTCACAGGCCTCATTATATTCATTCACTATAGTCACAGCTATAGAACTATTTTATGCAGTTTTAGAACATTTTCTCCAAACTGTAAAGAAGTCCCATCCAGTGCAGTCATCACCACCTACCCAAATCAATCACTATTTCTTTATCACTATGCATTTGCAATTCCGGAAATTGTATTTCATTAAAGCTTCAATACAATTCAAATTAAAAGCAATTTAGGTCTGGCCCTTTGTAAGTATCTTTTTTCATTACTCATTATTAGGTTTATTCACCCTAAGACTTCCTGTATTTTATGTTTTTGCTAGTTTATCCTTCTAGGATTTTGTTCATTTGTGGTAGGTTTACTTTTTGACACACAAGTGAAATAGTATTTCTTCATAACCTTTATTTCTGCAAGGTCAGGAGTAATATTTCTTTTCTGATTCCAATAACTGAAGTCTCCTTTTCCCTGATAAGTTTAGCAAAACGTTTGTCAGTTTTGTTGATCTTGTTTTAGAACTAACTTCTGGCATGGATTCACGGATTTCTCTCTCTGTATCCTGTTTGTTACTTATTTTGCATCTATTTTTCCAACTTTCTCTTTGCTCTAGATTTAGCTTACTCTTCTTTTTCAACCATCTTAATGTATAAAGTGAGTTACTGCTATATGATATTTCTTCTCATTAAACAGGAACCTATACAGTTCCTTCTAAGCATTTTATTGAGTCACAGAAATTTTGGTAGTTCATCTTCATTCTCATTCATCTCAAAGGATTTTCTAGTTTATTTTTTATTTCTTTTTAATGAAGATTTGTATTTATGTGTGTGTCTGTATGTGTGTGTGGGCATGTGTGTGCAGGTACCTATGGAGGTCAGAAGATGGTATCAGATCCCCTGAAGTTGGACTTACAGGAAGTTGTGAGCCACCTGATGTGAATGCCAGGAACCAAACTTGGCAAGCACTCTTAATCACTGAGCCATGTCTCCAGCCATTCTTCTGTGTTTCTTCATTGACCTATTTATTAATTATTTAAAAGTGTGAGTCTTCTGAATCTAGTCAGTCTATCTAGAGATCCTTGTTTTAGGAAGATCAGCTCTTCCTCATCTATCAGCAATCAGTTGACAACATTCCTTTAGATAAGATTGGGGTCTGCTGTTCATGTTCCCAGTTCTATGCTGGGTTACCGTCTGGGAGTCTCTTGGGCCACCGTGGCCAACAACTCAAAGGAAGGTATCTCCTGTCTGGAGGGACACTGACAACACAGTGAACAGTAACAGGGATGACAGAATATATGGGCTTCTGTGTGGGGGGGGTATGGGAGAGTGCCATTTGGGATGCAGGCATAAAGATTAATAAGATTATTTGGGACGTTCTGTATAAAATACAAAGAACAGCAATAAAAAATGAGTTATATTTGAAAAAAAAGGAATATTCATCAGGAAAAAAAAAACGTGTGATTCCACCTCCCTCTGTAGAAGTTGCTGACCAGGGTTTCCATAGACCCTCAACAATACTGGGCATTGTCCCTGCTCTTGGTTACCTACCAGAACTGATTGGTCAGACCCTATTGCTGAAGACACTACATGCATGAGCTGTAGAACAAACAAGGAGAAATCAAGTTGGTACTCACTTCAAAGTCTCATCTCTACTGGCTAGATTTCATAGTGCTGGAGGGTGCTATGTATATTACTGGAAGAAAAAAGGTAATTATCATCCTTACCCAGCTCTGAACTCTGCAAGCTACAACTAGTTTGGAAAGACATGCCCTCCAGTGCAATAATGTCACAGATAATATGGGAGTAACCAACCACTCTCTAATTGGATTTAAGGTCCATTTCATAGGATGGAACCCATACCTGACACTGATATCAGCCTTAGGACCCTGAGGTTAGATAGGTCAGAGGGCAGAGAGGAGCACCTAATACCAGTTTTTCTACTAAATAGTTATAGTATTAAACTGACTCACAATGACTTACTGTTATACCACAGATAATTCATCTCTCAACTCTCATCAGAGAAGTTTCCTTATGCAGCAGATGGTGATTAACACAGAAACCCACAATTGGCCAATGTGCAGAGAACAAGAGACTGCAGAGTGCTTATCCCTGAATAGGACACCTATTTCAAACCTCTGCCTCCCAAAGCTCAGGAATCATTGTGGAAAAGGAGGTGGAAAGACTGTGAGAGCCAGAGGTGATGAATGACCACAAGGATACAGTTTTCCAGACAGCTGGTCAGCTACCCACATGAACTGACAGCACGTATAAGTCCCACATAAGGGCAAGCCACACAAAATTCCAGCATAGACACGGGGAAGAGGCTAAGAAAACTCAACCCAACCGAAGGAACTTTTGGCAATGGATGGCTGCTAGGAAGGAAAGAGTCTGTGAGTATGCACGTGCACATGAGCAGATGGGAGTGGATCTAAATATCATCAAATTATAGTGTATGAAAATCACAAAATATTGAAGAAAAAAGAGGGGGTACAAAAAAGTAGGAGTCCTCCACGTTAGTGAGTTTCCCAATTTTTGTTACTGTGTTCCAACTTCATTTTATGTGGTTAGAGAACATATTTTACATGACTTCAATCTACACATATTTATTAAGGCTTGCTCTATAGTTTACCTTATGATCTAGCCTAAAAATGTTTCATATGCATTGGATCAAAACAAACTACAGCACATAGTTTGTTATTGAGTTGAATATCTTGAAGATCTATTTGGCTTATATAGTTGAAGGCTTCTATTTCCTTGTTTACCATCAGCATAGTACTTCTATTATTGGAAATGGTATATTGAATATTCCAACTTTTAAACAGACATACATGATTAAAATTGTTACATTTTGGAAGATTGATCCTTTTAACACAAAATATACATGTTTATCTCTGGTAATATTTTTGTTTCCTTTTCTCCATACATACTTTTTCTACATATTATAAAGCCAATAATACATTATAATGACCACTTACTATAATCCTATGCTTTCTAAAGAAATTGAAAGAATTATCTGCTTACAGGTTTTAAAATTAACCATCATATTTCTCCTCCCTAGTTTTCTTTATTTGTTCCATTGGATTTATTCTAATTCTTTAAGCACAATATAGCAATATTTCCTATCTTCTTTGTCCTGTTATTGGCAAATATATTGATATTTATCAATATATAGGCCAAACAATACAACTATATAGAACTTCTACAACTTTTAAAAATTAGTCAATAGATGAAAGGAAAACTTGTTTTTTAAAATATAATTACATAACTGCTTTTGTCTGTGTTTTAGGTGTAGATTTAAATTACTCTGAGCTCACTTGCCTTCAATGTGACAGAGTTCCTTTGTATTTCTTGTGACATCTACTGCCGACAAATTCTCCAGATTAAAAAAAATGGGAAATGTTTTATTGTCATTTTTTGAAAAATAGGGATTTTATATATAGAATACAAAGTAACAGTTTTATTTGAGTACTTTGGGTATACTATTTCACTGCCACCTCCTCATATTTATGATACTTTTGTTTCTTACATTTGGTATGAGACAGAGTTTCATTGTTTTACACAAGCTTGCTTTGAATTTCTGGGTTCAACTGATCCTCCTGTCTCAGCTTCCTGAGTAGCTGAAATTACAGGCATGTGCCCAGGCTACTACACCATTTCTGAGGACAAGTTAGTTGTTAATCTGATCAGAGTTTCCTCATAAATGATAGTTTCTTGGGTTATTTTCATGATTTTCTCTGTTTCTGAACTTCAGAATTTTACAAAAATGAGGCTGGGGTTTGAAGAGGTTTTGCAATATTTAGAATTATCTTTCTCACTGAATTGGAAATATTTGTAGCCATTATTTCTTGGAGTATTTTTTGACATTTATTTGTGTGTGTGTGTATGTGTGTGGGCATTTGCTTGCCATAGTGTGAGTGTGGAGGTCAGAGACAATTTGGTGGAGTCAATCATCTCCTTCTACCACGTGGGTCCCTAGCAATTAAACTCAGGTCATCAGGCTTAGTGACAAGAGCCCTTTACCTACTAAGCTATCTTGTCATTTTGCCAGCCCTCTTGCACTATTTCTATTTGCACCTTTCTTTTCTCTTCTTTTCCTAGCATTCTCATTATATATACTTTGGTGCATTCAGTGGTGGTCCAAGTCCAACATTTCCTTCATTCTTTTTTCCCCCCGTTTCTTACCAGGAATAATATAATGTCATTTAATCCTTACAAGCCAATGAGGTAAATAGCATTATTATTCTTACTTTAGAGATGGGATAATTGAAGTTCTGCCTAAGTGATTTTTCCAAGTTCAGCGTGGTAAACATGGGTGACTCTGAAGGTCTCAGGTCTGACCCCACAGCTCGTCTATTTTCTCTCCACCATATTATCTTTCTATTCTTCCACAACCATAACAAATACCTAGGGGGTTTGGGCCAGATTGTTTTGCTTCCCTCCTTGTCTCTTTAGGATTCTTTGTTAGTTTGTTCCTTCTTGAAACTTTATGTACCCAGTGTTTAACAGTATATTTAATGCCTATTGCTTTGAATTCAATGGCTATTCAACAGTATCAATACTTGTTTTAAAAGATGTCATAAAAACCGGGCGTGGTGGCACACGCCTTTAATCCCAGCACTCGGGAGGCAGAGGCAGGTGGATCTCTGTGAGTTCAAGGCCAGCCTGGTCTACATAGTTAGTTCCAGGACAGCTGGGGCTACAGGGAGACCCTGTCTCAAAAAGACAAAGAAAAGATGTCATTAGAAAAATATATATTTTCTCGAAGACTCTGAAAAATTAGTGGGGAAGCAATCATTAAATATGTTGACTGTCATGAAATTATATACAGTTACTGCTGATAGTTCTGACAAAACAAAATGAGTTCTAATAAATATTTTAACACTGAATTAGCTTTAAATTTTTGTATATAAGAAGTCCTGGAAAGAATGTTATCTCTATGGCTAAATATTTAAGATCCCCCAAAATAGTAAATATTCTACAATATCTTCAGGAATAATCCCATGTAATTTAGCCTGAAAATAATTAAAGTTTTTTAAATATGACCATAATATTCAGGATATTGTCTATTCTATATAGTCTATGATAATATCCATAACACTTAGCATACTGTCAATTCTATATAGCAGTCTCTGATTATAGAAAATATTTTCCATCAAATCCCTGCAAGCACTGAGAGCCATTGTCTTAATTATTTTTTAATATTTTTCCCCTTCAACTTCAAATAAATTTCTATATATACACAATCCTAGATCCAAGATTCTGATACAAGAAAGATCATCCATGCATGTGTCTGTGTGCATTTCTAGGTACCACTGATTTTTGAAATACTATCTGTAACAGATGATATAAGAGAAGCATTCTGAAGATCTGATTGTTGCTTTTTTTTTCCAAACTCTATCACCAATATTTTCCCATGTAGTTTATATCCATTTATTTGATGCAATGCTTGGCATGCAACCTCCTTATCTGAAAATAAAGAAAAGATACATCAATTTACATGGAGCTTAGCCATTCAATTATATTACAAGTTTAATTCTGGTCATTTTGGTACAAGATCATACTGATATTTGATGTTTTTATCTTTTCCATAATCTTTAATTTGTATAAGTCAGAAAATTTAAACTAATGGTTAATGATAATGACAACAAAAGTTAAAAAAATGGGTATTTGAAGGTGTCTCTTAATTCAAAAATATGTAAGAAATAAGGATACACAGGAAGTGTGCTAAAGAAGTATAAGTTAATCCTAATTATATACATACCTCTATCTGAGATAGATAATAGATATTATAAGCAAATTTTTCAAAATTGTCACACAAAAGAAGTTATGTTATTGAAGATGGTTTGCTACTTTTTCCTTTCATTGGAAGAGTGATTATGGAAATCCTTGTTGGGATAACAAAGTTCACTTGGAGGCATATAGAAAATTTGAGTATGGAGCTGGATGTGGTGGCGCACAGCTTTAATCCCAACACTCGGGAGGCAGAGGCAGGTAGATCTCTGTGAGTTCAAGCCAGCCTGGTCTATATAGTGAGTCCCAGGCTGGCTGGTACTACAGGGAGACCCTGTCTCAAAAAGACAAAAAGAAAGGAAGGAAGGAAGGAAGGAAGGAAGGAAGGAAGGAAG